TCGACTCCAATTCGAGTAGGCTTGGAGGTCTCGGCCCCGGAACCCGCGTGGCTTTGTCCCTCTGCCAGTACCTTCAGGTGTGCGGAGAGTGGTCTCAGCATGGTGGTGGCTGGTCCTGGAGGTCTCCGGCTGCCGTAGCCCTGGCCGGGGCGGGGAGGAAAGCTCAACCCGCTCCCCTCCAAGGGACTCCGGGAAGGAACACCGAGGCGCGGGGGCAGAGACTGCACTGCTCTCGTCCGGGATCTGGATTTTATAGTCTCTGAGTCTTGGCCGCTGATGGGATTACACGGCGCCAGGGGGCCAGGTGGTGGGTGTGACCCCCGCCTACTGGAATTTGGAGGATCTGGGTGGAAGATGCTCGACTCCAATTCGAGTAGGCTTGGAGGTCTCGGCCCCGGAACCCGCGTGGCTTTGTCCCTCTGCCAGTACCTTCAGGTGTGCGGAGAGTGGTCTCAGCATGGTGGTGGCTGGTCCTGGAGGTCTCCGGCTGCCGTAGCCCTGGCCGGGGCGGGGAGGAAAGCTCAACCCGCTCCCCTCCAAGGGACTCCGGGAAGGAACACCGAGGCGCGGGGGCAGAGACTGCACTGCTCTCGTCCGGGATCTGGATTTTATAGTCTCTGAGTCTTGGCCGCTGATGGGATTACACGGCGCCAGGGGGCCAGGTGGTGGGTGTGACCCCCGCCTACTGGAATTTGGAGGATCTGGGTGGAAGATGCTCGACTCCAATTCGAGTAGGCTTGGAGGTCTCGGCCCCGGAACCCGCGTGGCTTTGTCCCTCTGCCAGTACCTTCAGGTGTGCGGAGAGTGGTCTCAGCATGGTGGTGGCTGGTCCTGGAGGTCTCCGGCTGCCGTAGCCCTGGCCGGGGCGGGGAGGAAAGCTCAACCCGCTCCCCTCCAAGGGACTCCGGGAAGGAACACCGAGGCGCGGGGGCAGAGACTGCACTGCTCTCGTCCGGGATCTGGATTTTATAGTCTCTGAGTCTTGGCCGCTGATGGGATTACACGGCGCCAGGGGGCCAGGTGGTGGGTGTGACCCCCGCCTACTGGAATTTGGAGGATCTGGGTGGAAGATGCTCGACTCCAATTCGAGTAGGCTTGGAGGTCTCGGCCCCGGAACCCGCGTGGCTTTGTCCCTCTGCCAGTACCTTCAGGTGTGCGGAGAGTGGTCTCAGCATGGTGGTGGCTGGTCCTGGAGGTCTCCGGCTGCCGTAGCCCTGGCCGGGGCGGGGAGGAAAGCTCAACCCGCTCCCCTCCAAGGGACTCCGGGAAGGAACACCGAGGCGCGGGGGCAGAGACTGCACTGCTCTCGTCCGGGATCTGGATTTTATAGTCTCTGAGTCTTGGCCGCTGATGGGATTACACGGCGCCAGGGGGCCAGGTGGTGGGTGTGACCCCCGCCTACTGGAATTTGGAGGATCTGGGTGGAAGATGCTCGACTCCAATTCGAGTAGGCTTGGAGGTCTCGGCCCCGGAACCCGCGTGGCTTTGTCCCTCTGCCAGTACCTTCAGGTGTGCGGAGAGTGGTCTCAGCATGGTGGTGGCTGGTCCTGGAGGTCTCCGGCTGCCGTAGCCCTGGCCGGGGCGGGGAGGAAAGCTCAACCCGCTCCCCTCCAAGGGACTCCGGGAAGGAACACCGAGGCGCGGGGGCAGAGACTGCACTGCTCTCGTCCGGGATCTGGATTTTATAGTCTCTGAGTCTTGGCCGCTGATGGGATTACACGGCGCCAGGGGGCCAGGTGGTGGGTGTGACCCCCGCCTACTGGAATTTGGAGGATCTGGGTGGAAGATGCTCGACTCCAATTCGAGTAGGCTTGGAGGTCTCGGCCCCGGAACCCGCGTGGCTTTGTCCCTCTGCCAGTACCTTCAGGTGTGCGGAGAGTGGTCTCAGCATGGTGGTGGCTGGTCCTGGAGGTCTCCGGCTGCCGTAGCCCTGGCCGGGGCGGGGAGGAAAGCTCAACATTGATAGATTATCATATTATTTTGGAACTTGGAAGTGACTTTGGAGATTCCCTTGCTTTTTAAAGAAACTAATGTTTAACTGTGTTTCAAGCTCAATTTTTTGGGTTAATTTCTCCATATTTTCTCCTCGCATATACATAAAATAAGAGTGAGACAATGTTTGCGAACTAGAAGGGATTTACAAGTTTAAAGTCTTCTAAAAATCTCCAAAAGCTTTATATATTAAGTTTTGTATATTACATTTCAGAGTATACCCAAGAACAGATACCACATTTTGCTTAAGACAATATGCAGTTAGAGAGAATTAGGCCAGTTTCAGTTTCAGATGGCAGAATGAGTTTCTGATTTCTTAAGTCAAAGGAGATTTGTATTAATTTTATTTTTGAAATTGGAGGAAGTTGAATTTGAATCTCTTTCTCCTTACTCTTATGTTCTAAGCTGCTTCAGCTGAGTGAATTTCAATTAAGTAACAGAATCTTTTACCTTTGCTATGTATGTATTTTTAAAAGTAAAGTGTTTAAGAGCCAGATATACCTCAAAGGGTTGAGCAAAATGCTTGCATTCAGGAGACCTAAAATCAACCTGCTGAGCATTGTCAAGAGTGACTTCTGAATCCTAAATTAGAATTATCTTTCAAGCACTGCTAGGTGTGACCCTAATCATCTATGCCCTCCCACCCCCAAAAGCAAAGAGTTAAAAAAAAATGAAGCCCAAATAATTCAATTTTACATCTTTCTTTCTGACTAGAAGCCAATTCTCATTATTCATGCTTAATATGAAAATATACTGAAATGATGAGAGGAAGCTAATTTGTTTTCAGTAGTAATATTTGGGTTTCTGTTGCATACCATTGGTAATAGAAGTACACAGCAGATACTACAAGTCTGCACTATTGCAACACAAAAAGCAAAGACTTGGAACTTCTTTGAATATTTTTTGGGGCGTAGTTTTGGGTCACACCTAGCGCTCATGGGTTACTCCTGTGTCTACATTCAGGTATCACTCTTCACAGTGCTCAGGGACCATATGGGATGCCAGATGATCGGCCATTTGCAGGGCAAACACCCTACATGCTTTGCTATCTGTCTGACCAATCCTTTAAAGTAGAAAGGGTTGTACATTGGGCTGGAGTGATAGTACAGTGGGTAGAGTGTTTGCACGTGGCCTATCCAGGTTCAATCCCTGGTATCCCATATGGTCCCCTAAGCACCACCAGGAGTAATTCCTGAGTGCAGAGCCAGGAGTAACCCTGAGCATCACCAGATGTTGTCCAAAACGCCAATCAATAAATAAATAAAAGAAAAAAGAAAAGGTTTTGAATTCTCTTCAATATTATTTGGGCGATAGTTCCTTAAAAATTGGTCATACTTAAGTCCTTTATCCTTAAGGCAGGTCAACACAAAATAGTGGTGCTCTAAGTAAACTAATGATTTGGCATAATTTCTTTTATTATTTATTTATTTATTGCTTTTTGAGTCACACCTGGCGATGCATAGGAGTTAGTTACTCCTGGTAGTGCTCGGGGAACCATATGGGATGCTGGGGATCAAACCCCGGGTTGACCATGTGCAAGGCAAGCGCCCTCCCCGCTGTGCTCCAGCCCCTGATTTGGCATAATTTCACATGGATATTCTTTAAATGTTTGTTCAAAGATGTTTGAGTGAGGAGTTGTCCATGACAAGCTTGGAGTGAGGGTGGACATAATGCTTGGTGGAGCCTTTCAGCTTGTATGTTCCACTTAACACAATAAAGTCTTGCAATGGACAAAGCCATTTCTTCCTGAAAGGCAGTATAGTGACCATTTATGGATTCTTTAAAATGCTCTTATCTAATTCAAGCTGTGTATCAAACCAACACTTCTAACTACCTCTAGCAACCTACTGAAAGGCTATTGTTTTCTATTCTTTTTTTCTACCTGGTTGCGTTCTAGATGTTTCACTCCTTATAAATCCCAGCTCTCTTCATGGACACTATCTTTTCATCTCTATAGCATGTACTGAGTGTCTGTGATGTGCCAGGCACTGTGCCAGTTACTGGAAATATAAATGTGATTAAGATAGTTTTCCTACTCTTAAGAAAGTCACCTTTAGGGCAAGAAAAGATTTGTAAACAAATACAGTATCAGAGAAGATATTGCAGGCCACTGAAGCAAAATGATTATTACGAGATAGTACTGGTAAGATGCCCTGAAATCCTTGAAAATTAAAATCTTCTTTTTAAAAAAGATACCTTGAGTGTTGCCTTGATCACTAGAAACCTTAACTTTGGTAAGAATTTAAATGAAAAGAGTAGTCTTTTCATTCTTCCAGCTCCCTATGGTTATAACAGGGATGTGAAGAAAGAACTAGAGTATAATAAATAACTACATAAGACTAAGCCAAATCTTTCACTTTATGTACTTTTTTCTCAAATGATTTGTCCCTAGAACTTGCAAAAAGGAAGCTTACTTAGTCCCTGCTACATCTATAACTACATACCCCTGATCCAGATGGTTTCTCCCCTTTGAAATAATTGCAAACAAGATTAAAACTGCATGCAGGAAGTATTCCAGCTGACTTTTGGCTTCCTCTGATGTATACTCCTTAAATAAACCACTGGTAAAATTAGATTAAAAATAATTAACATTAAAGGAATCTCACTACTTATACCAGATCACCTCAAGGTCCTGCTATGTGTGAAATTTGAACCCTGGGATTAAAGTAACTGAATGTACAAGTGCACTAGACTATAGATGTTATGAAATACAAAAAATAATAATAAAATAACTTATTTTGAAGGCATATCTCCACATTGCCTCTGGTACTTAACAGTATGATACAGCCAAGAATCTGGAATAAAAGAGAAATATAGTCCAATAAATTCCCAAGTTGAAAATCCTCATTTCTCTAAACTTACCAGCCATCGGGCCATCTAAATAAAACCACATACCCACAATTTCCTCTAGTGAAGCAGACAAAAAAGAAATATTGATTCTTCCTTGGCAGGTAGTTACTACTGAACACAGCAAGCATGAAGAAAATCTGGGGTTTCTGTCTACTCACCAAATTTAATTTTAACAACAAGACCTTTCTGGTTCCAGGCAATTCCTCAGCAGAGCAGGTCCTGAGTTATGAGGCTATGACATTTCTCAAAGAACCATGATTAGTTCTGCCTTTACTTCCAAGGTATCCCTATGCCACACTGTATTAAATCTCAATGTATAGTTCCAAGTGTCATTAGAACTTCATGTACATTTTAATAAACTATTCTTCAGATAATTACTACATGATAAGATGGTGGACTCTAAAGCTATCTCTACTTGTACAGTGTCAGGCAGGCATAGCTCTAGTGGCTGCTCATCCCAGGCAGGAGTTTCACACACTTATGTGGAAAAAGTGATAGGGATACAGCAGATTCAAGATGCAATTGCTTTTCTAGAGGAGCTGAGAATCTTGGGGTCAAGCTACGCCCTACAGTGGCTTTTAAAAGAAAAGCCCTAAAAATATTCAACAGTTTCTTTTAAGAAATAATAAAGTCAAGGAGGCAACATACTTGTTAAAGTTGGTCTGAGAAACAAGCGCTTGCACACTCATGTTAGTAACAATTTAGTTTTATATCTCTGGACTTTTCTTTTTTTACATCTGAATAAGCTGCTATTTGTCAGGATGACTGACAAGGCTAAGTGTTTATTGAGAAATGCAATTTCTGATTTATTCTCTAATTTTTCAACACCTAGAGAGCTGCTTCTACGAAAGAGCAGAAAGGAGGCCCGGGAGCCAGGCATACATAAGCCAGCACTTAAAATCTTACTTACTGCACCTTTATTTCAATCGTTTCTCCCTAAGTAAAGGTCAATATGGCTGCTCAAAAAAATTTATATAAAAAGGCAATCATCTTAACGGGTTGCCAGGTGCTATTATATTGCCACTGCATAGAATTCAATTAAACTCCGGAAGGGACATCTGTAAAGAAGTCATCGGAAAAAGCACGAAGTTGAAATGTTTTCTGCTTTCTCTGAACAAGCTGCCTTTTCCGGCTCATTGTTTTGTTCACTGATCAGAGTGCTACAGCACCCACTCGAGTGCACTTTCTCTCGCGCTCGGTCTTAGAATCCCCGCACCCACACCGCATGGTTCAAGGATTTAAGGCGCTCGGTTTATTAAATTTCCTCTAAAGGCAACCGAAACCGGTACCAGTAAGCAAGGAAACCCGCTCTCATCGATCCGACTTGCTGTGGCTCGAGGCGGGTTGCTGGCACCCACCAGCCTGTGCCACGCACCCACACCCACCTGAGCCTCCCCACGCTTAAGTCGCTGCTTCCGTCCCGGGCCAGGTACTTCCGCTCGAGCGAGCCAGGTCCCCGCCCCACGCCCTAGCACTTCCGCCCCAGAGGGCTGGAGAGCTGGTTGGTCGTGGCTCTCTAAGCCTATCGCCCCTCCCGGAAGGGAGGTGGTGCAAGGGCCGTGGGAAGAGAGGTGTAGAAACAAAGCGACAAGGTTAAAAAAAAAAAAAGATAAAGAGAGGCACGGAAAAGTACGTGACCCCCCTAGTGTTTGGGGACCGTTAAATACCGAACCTCAGATGTAAGCGTAGTTTGTAACTCTGAGAATGTGCAGTGCGCGTCCTTTTAAACCAACCTCTCCCTGTATTCGTTCTTTCCTAAATTCTTTCACTGTTTACCCTCTTTCTCCAGATAGGCTGGATTAGGGTATGGATAACTCAGTAATGGATTAAACAGACAGCGATACCATCCCTAATCTTAAAAGTTATGTGGACAAGACTTTAAGAAATTATTTAAATAGGTCATGCGTTTACAAGCTAAATACTTTGAAAGGAGAGCATGTGGACCTATGAGGAAATATGAATATGATCTAGTTGAGGAGGTACTTTGTAGGCTGGGATCCTCTGCGCCAAGGAAGGGTGGGATTGGAGAACAGAGTACACTTTGGACTGATAATTATGACCTAGGCATGGAGGGAGTGGAAGAGAGAAGTACAAATCAGGCTATAGAGGGCTGGCAGGAGACAGGCTCCACGTGACTTTTCTGTGCAAAGGGAAACTACAGGGATTCTTGCTTTTTTCTAATTTTTTGTTTGCATGTGGAAATGGGGTTGACCCGACTGACCTAACTATTTCAGAATAGTCATTCTGAAAGGATGACTGTTGAGAAAGGATTGGCTTTGTGAAAACATAGTATAGATGGGCAAGTCAAGGCTGAGTATTCTAGATCCAAGGTGTGGTGGCTTGATTGGTAGCTTTGTAAACAGTGAGAAAAATGAAGAACAATATGAAGAACACTAAAAGCTAACAATGATTGATTGCTCACCATAAACTTTAAACTCATTAATTTGTTTAATCCTGAGAACAATCCAATTAAGTATTATTAGTCCCATTTTGCAGATGGATAAATTGAGTTTTAATAACTTGCCCTAGTTCTCAGAGCTAGAAAATAATAGTACTTGGATTCCATCTCATGCTGTCTGATGCCAGAATCCATAAGCAATACACTCAATCTGTATTTGGCAATTTATACTAAGATATAAATAAAACCAAGGTCAAGAATGAATTCCCTAAACAAACCACACTGATATTATTAGAAGACATATCTAGAAAGCAGAGCATTCAAATTCTTTGTCACTTCACAGCATTTGCTGATAGGAAAAGAGAGGATATTGTTACGACCAATGATTATTTTTTAGTTGACAACTCTGATAAAACCTAATCTTCTCAAAAAGAAAAAGAAGAGATAAGTCTAAACTCAATTGCTGATAGATTATCTTTAAAGAAATTATCTGGGGTCTAGTTATAAAAGCTTGGTGAAGCATTTATAACACATTTTATATACTGAGAAAAAAGCTTTCTACAAATGCAACTCCAAACCACCTTCCAAATCTCATTTCTTATTGGAAAACAAAGTTTTATTCAATAAATTGGATTATGAAACCTTATTTCAACCACTGTAGGAGACAAATGACTTCATCAGAGCCCAACAATGATTTTTTTGGGCCTTTAGTTATGGGAAAATTTCTCTTAAGGAGCAAGAACTTTGCAAAATTTCAGAATATGAACTTAATTCATCTGATCTTTTTGGGGGGTTTCTCACCCCAAATCTTGTTGAGACAAAATCTGGTACGATAACAGGATATAAGAAGTCTTGTGAAATGACTGGGAAATCTTGAGAACTCAATGAGGCCTCTGCCTGTCACTTGACTGAATACATCTAGAGGACCAGTGTTACTGCTGGGCACAGGGCTCATGGACCGAACATTTGAATTGGAAGATTCCTGAAATCAGAAAAAATTGTTGTTTTCCAAGTAAGAAAAGTGCCAATGTGCCTTTTGGCCATTTGTATTTTTTTTTTGAGGAAACTTCTGTTCATTTCTTCCCCCCGTTTTTTGATGGGGTTGGAGGATTTTTCTTGTACAATTCTACTAGTGTCTTGTATATCCTGGATATTAATGCCTTATCAGATGGGTATTGGGTAAATATTCTTTACCATTCTGTGGGCTTTTCTGTATTTTGGTCACTGTTTCTTTTGAAGTGCAGAAGCTTCTTAGTTTGATGTAGTCCCATTTGTTTATGTTTGCTTCCACTTGCATCGCTAGCCATCAGGAAGATGCAAATCAAAACAACAATGAAATATCATCTCACGCCACAGAGACTGGCACACATTCAAAAGAACAAAAGCAACCAGAGCTGGCGTGGATGTGGGGAAAAAGAGACGCTCTTTCACTGTTGGTGGGAATGCCGACTGGTCCTGCTTTTATGAAAAACAGTATGGACAGTTCTTCAAAAACTAGAAATTGAGCTTCCATATGACCCCGCAATACCACTTCTGGAAATATATCCAGAGGATGCAAAAAAGCACAGTAGAAATTGCATCTTTACCTATATGTTCATTGCAGCACTGTTCACAATCACCAAAATCTGGAAACAACCCAACAGCCCTACAACAGATGACTGGTTAAAGAAACTTTGGTACATCTACACAATAGAATACTATGAAGCTATTAGGAGAGATGGAGTAATGAAATTTGCTTATAAGTGGATAGACATGGAGAGTATCATGCTAAGTGAAATGAGTCAGAAAGAGAGGGAAAGACATAGAAGGACTGCACTCATTTTTGGAGTATAAAATAACAACATGAGGCTGACACCCAAGGATAGTAGATACAAGGGCTAGGAGCATTGTCCCATAGCTGGAAGCCTGCCTCATGAGTGGAGGGGAGAAGGAAGCTGGAATAGAGAAGGGATCACTAAGAAAATGATGGCTGGAGGAATCGGTTGGGATGGGAGATGTGTGCCGAATGTAGATAATGGACCAAGCATGATTACCTCTCAGTGTCTGTATTGCAAACCATAATGCCCCCAAATAGAATGAGAGTATGGGGAATATTGTCTTCCTTGGAGCCGGGAGAAGGTGGGGAGGAGGGGTTTACTGGGGAGATTGGTGATGGGGAATGTGCACTAGTGGAGAGATGGGTGTTTGATCATTGTGTGATTGTAACCCAAATATGAAAGCTTGTAACTTTCTCACGATGATTCAACAAAGTTTTAAAAAATAATAAAAAAGAAAAGTACCAAAACAAAAAACATTGTAGCACTGTCCTCCCATTCTTCATCGATTTGCTGGAGCGGGCCCAATAACATCTCCAAAGTGAGACTTGTTGTTACTGTGTTTGGTAGGGGAGAGATACACTCAGTAGCTTGCCAGGCTCTCTGAGATGGGCGGAGGAATCAAACCCGGCTTGGCTGGGACAGCCGCTTGCAAGGCAATTGCCTTACCACTGTGCTATCACTCCAGCCAAAACAAAATAAGAATTTATTAAATGGTCAAAAAAATAAAGTACTGTGTAACCTCCATTAATTGCTGGATTTAGTGCTCATAATGATTTCATTGCATTTGCAGCAGCTTTTAGATGAGATGCTCTTACTGAGACTTCCTAAATATATATGATTAGTATTAAAAACTCATAGCATATTTTAAATTACTTACTATTTTTTTTTAGATCACACCCTGAAGTAGTGCTCAGGGGATATTCCTGACTCTGCTCAGGGGACCATACGTAGTGTAAGGGATTGAACCAGGATCAGTCAGATGCAAAGTCAATGTCTTAACCCCTATACTATCTCTCAAAATAGAAATTAGTTATTTTAATCAATTTAATTAAAAACCAAATTGATAAAGTTCATTATGGCAAAATTATTTGATGTGGCATAGATACACATTTTTTTTATTGAAG